TTTCCTGAATGGTGACTTGTCTGAGGGGCTAGTGTTTTTCCTGAATGGTGACTTGTTTTTGGGGCTAGTGTTTCCTGAATGGTGACTTGTCTGTGGGGCTTGTGTTTCCTGAATGGTGACTTGTCTGTGGGACAAGTGTTTTCTCAATGGGGGCTAGTGTTTCCTGAATGGTGACTTGTCTGTGGGGCTAGTGTTTCCTGAATGATGTCTTGTCTGTGGGGCTAGTGTTTACTGAATGATGTCTTGTCTGTGGGGCTAGTGTTTCCTGAATGGTGACTTGTCTGTGGGGCTAGTGTTTCCTGAATGGTGACTTGTCTGTGGGGAAAGTGTTTCCTCAATGGTGTCTTGTCTGTGGGGCTAGTGTTTCCTGAATGATGACTTGTCTGTGGGGCTAGTGTTTACTGAATGATGTCTTGTCTGTGGGGCTAGTGTTTCCTGAATGATGACTTGTCTGTGGGGCTAGTCTTTCCTCAATGGTGTCTTGTCTGTGGGGCTAGTGTTTCCTGAATTGTGACTTGTCTGTGGGGCTAGTGTTTACTGAATGATGTCTTGTCTGTGGGGCTAGTGTTTACTGAATGGTGACTTGTCTGTGGGGCTAGTGTTTCCTGAATGGTGACTTGGCTGTGGGGCTAGTGTTTACTGAATGATGTCTTGTCTATGGGGCTAGTGTTTCCTGAATGGTGTCTTGCCTGTGGGGCTAGTGTTTACTGAATGTTGCCTTGTCTGTGGGGCTAGTGTTTACTGAATGGTGACTTGTGTGTGGGACAAGTGTTTCCTCAATGGGGGCTAGTGTTTCCTGAATGGTGACTTGTCTGTGGGGCTAGTGTTTCCTGAATGGTGACTTGTCTGTGGGGCTAGTGTTTCCTGAATGGTGTCTTGTCTGTGGGGCTAGTGTTTCCTGAATGATGACTTGTCTGTGGGGCTAGTGTTTACTGAATGGTGACTTGTCTGTGGGGCTAGTGTTTACTGAATGATGTCTTGTCTGTGGGGCTAGTGTTTACTGAATGGTGACTTGTCTGTGGGGCTAGTGTTTCCTGAATGGTGACTTGTTTGTGGGGCTAGTGTTTCCTGAATGATGTCTTGTCTGTGGGGCTAGTGTTTACTGAATGGTGACTTGTCTGTGGCGCTAGTGTTTACTCAATGGTGACTTGTTTGTGGGGCTAGTGTTTCCTGAATGGTGACTTTTTTGTGGGGCTAGTGTTTCCTGAATGGTGTCTTGTCTGTACGGTAGTGTTTCCTGAATGGTGACTTGTTTGTGGGGCTAGTGTTTACTGAATGGTGACTTGTTTGTGGGCTAGTGTTTACTGAATGGTGACTTGTTTGTGGGGCTAGTGTTTCCTGAATGGTGACTTGTCTGTGGGGCTAGTGTTTCCTGAATGATGACTTGTTTGTGGGGCTAGTGTTTCCTGAATGGTGACTTGTCTGTGGGGCTAGTGTTTCCTGAATGGTGTCTTGTCTGTGGGGCTAGTGTTTCCTGAATGGTGTCTTCTCTGTGGGGCTAGTGTTTACTGAATGGTGACTTGTCTGTGGGGCTAGTGTTTCCTGAATGGTGACTTGTCTGTGGGGCTAGTGTTTCCTGAATGGTGACTTGTCTGTAGGGTAAGTGTTTCCTGAATGGTGACTTGTGTGTGGGACAAGTGTTTCCACAATTGGGGCTAGTGTTTACTGAATGGTGACTTGTTTGTGGGGCTTATGTTTCCTGAATGGTGACTTGTCTGTGGGGCTAGTGTTTACTGAATGGTGACTTGTGTGTGGGACAAGTGTTTCCTCAATGGGGGCTAGTGTTTCCTGAATGGTGACTTGTCTGTGGGGCTAGTGTTTCCTGAATGGTGACTTGTCTGAGGGGCTAGTGTTTTTCCTGAATGGTGACTTGTTTTTGGGGCTAGTGTTTCCTGAATGGTGACTTGTCTGTGGGGCTTGTGTTTCCTGAATGGTGACTTGTCTGTGGGACAAGTGTTTTCTCAATGGGGGCTAGTGTTTCCTGAATGGTGACTTGTCTGTGGGGCTAGTGTTTCCTGAATGATGTCTTGTCTGTGGGGCTAGTGTTTACTGAATGATGTCTTGTCTGTGGGGCTAGTGTTTCCTGAATGGTGACTTGTCTGTGGGGCTAGTGTTTCCTGAATGGTGACTTGTCTGTGGGGAAAGTGTTTCCTCAATGGTGTCTTGTCTGTGGGGCTAGTGTTTCCTGAATGATGACTTGTCTGTGGGGCTAGTGTTTACTGAATGATGTCTTGTCTGTGGGGCTAGTCTTTCCTCAATGGTGTCTTGTCTGTGGGGCTAGTGTTTCCTGAATTGTGACTTGTCTGTGGGGCTAGTGTTTACTGAATGATGTCTTGTCTGTGGGGCTAGTGTTTACTGAATGGTGACTTGTCTGTGGGGCTAGTGTTTCCTGAATGGTGACTTGGCTGTGGGGCTAGTGTTTACTGAATGATGTCTTGTCTATGGGGCTAGTGTTTCCTGAATGGTGTCTTGCCTGTGGGGCTAGTGTTTACTGAATGTTGCCTTGTCTGTGGGGCTAGTGTTTACTGAATGGTGACTTGTGTGTGGGACAAGTGTTTCCTCAATGGGGGCTAGTGTTTCCTGAATGGTGACTTGTCTGTGGGGCTAGTGTTTCCTGAATGGTGACTTGTCTGTGGGGCTAGTGTTTCCTGAATGGTGTCTTGTCTGTGGGGCTAGTGTTTCCTGAATGATGACTTGTCTGTGGGGCTAGTGTTTACTGAATGGTGACTTGTCTGTGGGGCTAGTGTTTACTGAATGATGTCTTGTCTGTGGGGCTAGTGTTTACTGAATGGTGACTTGTCTGTGGGGCTAGTGTTTCCTGAATGGTGACTTGTTTGTGGGGCTAGTGTTTCCTGAATGATGTCTTGTCTGTGGGGCTAGTGTTTACTGAATGGTGACTTGTCTGTGGCGCTAGTGTTTACTCAATGGTGACTTGTTTGTGGGGCTAGTGTTTCCTGAATGGTGACTTTTTTGTGGGGCTAGTGTTTCCTGAATGGTGTCTTGTCTGTACGGTAGTGTTTCCTGAATGGTGACTTGTTTGTGGGGCTAGTGTTTACTGAATGGTGACTTGTTTGTGGGGCTAGTGTTTACTGAATGGTGACTTGTTTGTGGGCTAGTGTTTACTGAATGGTGACTTGTTTGTGGGGCTAGTGTTTCCTGAATGGTGACTTGTCTGTGGGGCTAGTGTTTCCTGAATGATGACTTGTTTGTGGGGCTAGTGTTTCCTGAATGGTGACTTGTCTGTGGGGCTAGTGTTTCCTGAATGGTGTCTTGTCTGTGGGGCTAGTGTTTCCTGAATGGTGTCTTCTCTGTGGGGCTAGTGTTTACTGAATGGTGACTTGTCTGTGGGGCTAGTGTTTCCTGAATGGTGTCTTGTCTGTGGGGCTAGTGTTTTCTGAATGGTGACTTGTCTGTGGGAATACCTTTCCGTTGTCTGAAAACTTATCCAGTAAAAAAGGACATTACATCCTACAAAGAACACCTGTTATTGTACAAGACTGCATGCTTAAGGTAACAGAAACTGTTCCCATCAACTCTTACATATGAAAACTCATCACTGTTTTCTAGGAAATATTTCCTCACTTTAGAAGTAAAAGCCAGGAAATGTTTTGTATGAGGTCAGTTTTGGATTTGGCTTTATAACCTACGTAATTAGGTTAATATCCCCAAAATTGTGCTGAGAACTCACATAGGATGCACACAGTTTGCCACAGACAGACAACAATCTGCAGCACATCTCCAATCATTTTTTTACTTAACATACATGGAACAGACTATTCAGAGGGCAAGCCATTTTGTAGTGTACCGGAGATGTGAATAAGGAGAGAGACATCTTGGGTTGAAACAACACAAGGGAGGTTGGTAGTAGAGGGGATGGACATGGATACCAGGGGTTGAAACAACACAAGAGGGGTTGGTAGTAGGGGGGATGGACGTCGATACCAGGGGTTGAAACAACACAAGGGAGGTTGGTAGTAGGGGGGATGGACATCGATACCAGGGGTTGAAACAACACAAGAGGGGTTGGTAGTAGGGGGGATGGACATCGATACCAGGGGTTGAAACAACACAAGGGAGGTTGGTAGTAGGGGGGATGGACATCGATACCAGGGGTTGAAACAACACAAGAGGGGTTGGTAGTAGGGGGGATGGACGTCGATACCAGGGGTTGAAACAACACAAGGGAGGTTGGTAGTATGGGGGATGGACATGGATACCAGGGGTTGAAACAACACAAGGGAGGTTGGCAGTAGGGGGGATGGACGTCGATACCAGGGGTTGAAACAACACAAGGGAGGTTGGTAGTAGGGGGGATGGACATCGATACCAGGGGTTGAAACAACACAAGAGGGGTTGGTAGTAGGGGGGATGGACATCGTTACCAGGGGTTGAAACAACACAAGGGAGGTTGGTAGTAGGGGGGATGGACATCGATACCAGGGGTTGAAACAACACAAGGGAGGTTGGTAGTATGGGGGATGGACATCGATACCAGGGTTTGAAACCACACAAGGGGGGTTGGTGGTAGGGGGGATGGACATGGATACCAGGGGTTGAAACCACACAAGGGGGGTTGGTGGTAGGGGGGATGGACATCGTTACCAGGGGTTGAAACAACACAAGGGAGGTTGGTAGTATGGGGGATGGGTATATATTTATCCATGGGATGAAACCACACAAGTATATATGTTCTTTTTTAAAGATATTATGAACCAATACCTCATTTACACACACACTTCAAACATTGTGACCAAATGTAAAATTAGGAAGGAAATAGTACTGTTGATATGATACACAAATTTGTTTTAAGTTTAAAGACATCCCACTGGCTGGCGTGAGAAACACTTGCTGGCCCTTATGAAGATAAAAACCTGAGCCCTAATTGTCAGTGTGAGCTGGTACAGTGTGTTTTCATCTTTATGTCTGTAGATTGATGAGGGCAGCAGTACTATACGTGTTCATTGAAATATTGTTAATTGTTAGTTTTCACATAAACTTACCTCGCTTGAATCTTTTTCCCAGAAAGCCTTTCGTGTGTTCCAGTATCCACTTTCAGGGGCATCTGGCAGACTTGACCCCGACAAAGAACTATAGTTGACTGTAGACCCTGCATAGGAATACCTACGTCCAGCCCCTCTACGTGGAGTGTACGCCATGTCAACGTGACCTTGAGGTGCCAGCACAGGCGTGACAGCGCTGTCTTCCTCTATGTGTAAATCCACTGTCTCCCCTCCCTGGGCACCAACCACTGTTGTGTCCAAGTCTTCAGTAATAACAAGCTCACATAAGTCATCTGTTTCATCATCTGTCACTGTGGTATCCAAGTCTTCATCCCCACATGTAGTATCCGTATTCTCGTATCCATAGTAATAAGAGTGTTCTGATTCTGTGTCCCATGCCTCCGAGAGCTGCTGCTCCACAACCTCTCCCTCAATGACACTGTCTTGCTTTGGGACATAGGCATGGGAAATGCTGATGTTTTCTGAACTTGGTGCAGCTGAGATGGAAACCTGATCCTCAGACTCTTCTTGAGAATTCAACTCCACACATTTTTTATGTAGAATGGGGGACGCCTCTATGGGGATAAACTTTCCCTCACTTTCAGACAGGGCAACATTTTTGTCAGCTTCTTGCTGGCCTGCATGCTCAGAAATGTAATCACTTGAAACCTGTTCCTCTGACACAGTCATTGTTTGCATGAGGAATCTGTCAGAACTCTCATCTTGGGAGATATCTCCATCGCAACTGGTCATTAAACCCGTGTCTCCACTCAATGTCTGATGGAACCTATCATTTCCTAATTCTTCATCCGTACTCAACTCAGACACCTGTATCGCACCTGCAGTGGTCATACATTTGTCCCTCTCAGTACTGGCAGTGTCTCGCATACTGTGAAAGTCTAAGTTAGCCGAGTCCTCGTTAAATCCTGAGTCAGTTATACTGAATTTATCATACACACAGGTATGGGTTTGCACTTCTTCTTCATCTGAGCAACTCCCATCAAGAAAAGTTCTGTTGTCAAGGTTGCTGATAGGCTCACAGTCGGGGATGGCATCATACACAGCGGAATCAGTGATACTGCTGTCCCTGTTTGCATCCAGTGTGGAGTTCCCTGGCTTCATGTCACAGGTAGCCACACTCGCTTCCTCACTTTCATCACTGCCGGCTGAAGGAAACACTTCTGAAATGGACTCACACAGTTTGTCCATGTTTTCAACATCAACATTCATTAAGACATCTGCAATTATGACAGAGGAAACATTTTCACAACCGCCAGCAGCCAATTTGATGCATTTGTCTACTTCAGGCTCTATATTTTCACATTTGAGATCCATATTTGGTGCATGTCCAAGTGTGGTATCCGTATTAAGAGAAGTAAGCAAATTAGCATTCCCACTGCTAACTGGAGACACATTATCAAATCTGTCTGTATCAAAGTTGTTGATTTTGTCAAATATAGACTCAGTGTCTTTACTTCCGTTCACATGACAAGTAGAATCTATATTTGTATCAGGAAGGTGAACTGCTTGTATTTTGTTCTGAAGTTTTTCATCCATTTGCTTATCCATATTTTCAATGCTGCTATTTCGTCTACTCAAGCTAGGTAGAATTGGCTTTTCATTAAAATGTGATCTTGCAGTCTCAAAATCCACCTTTTCAACACAAACACCATCATTATCCTCCACATATCCAGGTTTCTCCATCACTACATTGTCTCCAGACTGCCTCCCTCTGTCCATATTTATAGAATGTTCAATCATATCTGGGTCTTCAACTTCTGATGCTGATGTTTCCATTTCATTGTCAACACCAAAGTCTCCAAGTAACTGCCAACCACCCTCCTTGCCGGGCTTATATTCCGACTCAGATGAAGATTCTCTGTCAATATTTCTTTCATGTCTATTTACAGGTGGTAACTTGGCCAGGATCTCCTCCTGATCTTCCTTTGCATAATCCTCATACTCACTCCCACTCTCCCCGGAGTCAGATAAAAACTTTTTCTTCCAAATCCCCCCCTCCCCTCTTATCCATTTGTATTTCCTGGTTGGAGATGGGGAGGGAGTGGCAGGTGGAGTTTCAGGATGTGGGGATTTGGTCAGCCTTTCACTGAGTGATCGTCGAATCTCAGAGACACGTGAACTTTCTACAGACTTCTCGTCATTTTTGTCTTTACGGTCAGTGTTCAATTTCTTGTCTAAACATTCTTCATATTCTTCAATGGTTTTCTCCACGCTCCCATGAGCTGACGGTACAATGTTCACTTTCTCTTTGCTGACTTTCCTTGATGGTTTACTCAGGAATTTATTTTTGACGGTCTGCCAGTGGTGTAATGATGTTGTCCCATTGGATCGTTTCAGTGCTTGATTTGACACAGTTTCAGTAGTTGGACATTCAGGTGAAGAAATTTCAGACGACCTGTCAAAACTACACAAGTCTATTGATGTTTCCTTGGGTGGGGCTATAGAGGCCACGTCTGTTTGTGTGGGTCTGACTGTCAATTCGTAATCAAATTTGTTTTCAGTACTATCTGAGTTAGCACTGCTTGGTATAAGATGTTCCTCATTACTGACATCTTTTACATAATTCTCCGTGACAGTCACTGCAGAGGTTTCTCCATCAGGTAGCTCAGGGCAGCTCACTGTGCTAGAGTTTGGGGGATCACTTGAAAGAGGTTCAAATCCAAATTCATTACTAATGACAGCAATTGGACACTGCAAAGGTTGAGCATGCTGAGTTGTAATCACAGACTTAAGATCAATTTGCTCATCAGGGGTAACAATGCATGGAGACAAATCAGAATAGCTCAAGTCAATTTTTCCATCGGCTGAGACAGATACTTTTGGTTTTGGTGATACGACTGGAGGTGGAAGCCTTGGTGATTTTGCAGTTTTGGTGTTTTCCATCAGAGGGGGACAAACTTCTTCAGTTTGCACAGAGCCATCTGCCATTAGTGAGAAAATTGTGTCTGGTCTGAGAGCCACAGCTGCCTTATCCACAATGGCGTCTGCTTGTGATGTGTTGTCGTTAGCTTCCAAGGGTAATGAGTTGTCTGCTACCTGCAAACTGTCGTCTGCTGTTAGAAACCTGGCTGACACACTCACAGCATTATCCTGCTTCCTTCTGACCATGACTTCACAGATTCCATCATTCTCTTTACTCTCAACAATAACATCTTCCTCAACTTTTAATCCAATTTCTTTTGTATCATTTATGCTGTCACTGTCATTCGAGGAAGACACATAATTTGTGATATTCATTACCTCACTATCACTTGCACAAATATGTGCTTCAGATTTGGGGGTACTAAATGTCTCCATCAGTGACAATTTGTCATATTTTGCAGGAAGCATCTGACTAGTTTGGCAATCGTTTTTCACCAAGAATTCAATGGAGCTAACATGTGGCACAGTAGCAGAGGTGTGGTCTTCAGAGGCACTCTTATCACCCCCTGATAGGTGGGGCTTTTTCATCAAAACATTACCAGTCTTAACTTTATTCACAGAATCTTGGGAAAATCTTGAAGTAATGGCCTTCTGCTGAGCTCGAGCTGCTAAACTTTTTCTCACAGAGCTTTGTTTCAAAAGTTCAGATTTGTGGACAGGTTTATAAGTGTGTAGTCTGCTAGCAGGTTTGCTGCTACTTTCCCCATCAGCCCTTGACACAGTCAACTGTAGTCTAATATCAGGCGAGTGGTTGCAGGTTACAGTTTCAAGCAATCCACTTGATTTGGGATCTCTCATGACAACTTTGGAGTCTGGGTTTAACACAATTCTTCTCTGTATAGGCATGTTTTCATTATAGCCTTCAGGGTGCAAATTTCTCTTATCTATGACAAGTCTTCTTTCAGGAAGCTTTGCTGAAAGCTTATCACTTCTTGCACTCCACATTCTACCCAAGGTTTGGCTATCACATTTCTTAGTGGAACTGTTATCAGGTTTATTTCCATCCATGCTAAGTAGGTCAGTGCTGACATTATAGTTTACTTCCGTCTCAAATCCTGCAGATATTTGGCCCCCTGGGGTAGATGACATAATATTGGAGCATTGTGAGCCTGTGATGTTGTGTGTCCTTTCTGTGTCAGGTGACATGGACACAGGATGGGGTGTGTTTTCTTGCCTGTAATGCCCATGCTTTTCTCTGTACAACGGGCTGGTGCCGTGAATTTCATCAAGAGATTTGTCAGTCTTGTTAAGTGAGCAAATGTCTGTGGATATAGCATCAATGTGACTTGCAAATTCCATGTCATCATGGCTACCAATACCCTGGAATCCTATGTCAGACATCTCACACGATTCCATATTTTCCACAACATGCCAATTTTGTTTGTCTGCAACCAAGTCTAATTTGGGTGTAGATTCATTAATATATCCAGTCTTACCTTCATCTAATGTATCATAATCAATCCAATCGTGGTTATGACTGTCACACTCCCTCCATCCACCCAGCGGTTCTGCCGCCTCCTCCCTCAGTCGGATGCTTGCTGAAATGTCTCCTGAATTCTGTCCCTCACTACTCCAGTCTAGATGTTCGGAATTGAAACTTGATCGCACTACATCTCCTGCCGTGCCTTGCACTTTCCCCAATCTGTGTGAACTGGGGGATCCTGTGTCTCTGATCACCCTACCATCCCTTCCTTGTAATGCACAAGCTAACACAGTTTCAGTTTCTGGTTTGAAAGTATCAAAGTTTTCCTGGGCCCCGGATGAATCATAAGCTGTATGTCGGTCTGAAGAGCCAGCTGTCTCTGTGGTACATCCTTGCTCAGGTTTATCGGAGTTTCCCGAAATATGAACCAGTTTATTTATTGAGATTTTATCATTTTTATCAAACTGCCTTTCAGAGTCCTCTCCATTTTTATCACACCCCATGAATTCCTTGGTTAAAGAGAAGCCTGCATCTTCCTTTGCTTGTGCTGCCATTGGCACTACAATATTGCTATCTTCCCTCTCTTCAGCCTTAATTTCTTTAACCTGAGATAATTTCAAGAGCATGCCGTCACACGCCCCCAGGAAGCTACCTGTATCTTCTGAGACTTCAATCACAGCAACTGTCTCAGGGTCAGGATTTTCAAACTCTGAATCTACAATTCTAGAGGATGAAGTGAATTCTGTAGGGTGGGGAAAGAAGTGGCCAACCCCTCCCTCTCTCTGATGTAAATGTTTATTATTGGCATTTTCTGAGGCCAGGTTGTGTCTGTATATGTTATCAGAGAAACTTCCATCCACTGAGGCCCTATCAACATCGGAAGATAGGGTGCAGGGCTCCATGAGCTGACTACACACAGCCGAGGCCTTCTCTCCACTCAGTGCTGGTTCCTGGTTGCCTTGACCAGCTGCTTCAGATGATAGATATTCCCCCTCTCCTGTCATCTCAGACAATAAACTATCTGCCTGATAGCAGCTCAGGTTTACCATTTCTAAAGATGCCTCAAATGTTCCATCTGAATCTTTTGACATCTGCCCATCTGACAATGCGGATGCATGTGTGATAGATTTCAAATTTTCTTCAGTTCTTTTAATATGTACCATAGGGACCTCTTCTTGCCCCTCCCTTAGAGAGCTTGTTTTCATCTGGTAGGAGGGTGATAGGGCCCCATATTGACCCTCATTTTTAACTTCAGCATGCCTATTGGTATGAGTTTCTTTCTGTGAATGGAACCTGTGTTTACTAATGTTAGCAGTGTGGTTTACATTACCATGCTCTGAGGACTGGCCTTGTCTGGAATCAGCTGGCAAAGTACTGTCACTCATAATTTCCTCTGCTTCATTACTAGCTGTTAAAGTGCCACTTCCAACATCAGTATTCTCACCAGGATACCTACAGCTTTCTAATATTAAAGGCACATTGACCTCAACTGGGACTGCACTTTCATCCTCAAGTGAACTGCCACATTCACACTCATTAACACGGTCCAGTAGCTGTATTACAGGTGTACTTACATCAGCTAGGTTTTCACCTCTTGAAAGAGATGGGACCAAATTGTTGTGCATCCTTCTGTTATCTATCCCTACAGAATTTAATGGTTCATTATCTAATTTCTCATATTTGTTTCTCTGTAGATTTTCCCCTGTGGGACTTGTATGTTTACTCCCAACTTTCTTGCTAACAGTTTCACTTGAACTACAGAAATCAGTTGCACTTTTCCCTTTCAGTCTCAGCTGTTTTGTTGGCAGGGAAGATTTACCTACAGTAGTATGAGTCTTTGAGGAAAGTCGTTCACTAGCCGGTTTGATCCTTGAACTTGGGACGGCAATTCTTGGAACTTTGGAACCTGAGGTTTGAGTCTTATTACTTTTACTAATTGAAGATGCTCTTGACACACTGGAAATATCTGAACATATTGACCAGCGGTCATCATCAAATCGACTGTCCACAGATCCTTCTCGTGTTGAAGGTCGACTGACATCACTGAAGTCCATTTCAGCTGGTATCTTAAGTCTCATCAGCTCCAGTCTTTCAGCTGTATATCTTTGTTCTAAGGCTAACAATGACCGAGAATTTGGAACATCAATATGTGACTTCTTTAATCCAGATTTCTTTGGTAATTTAGATACAGTAGTCTTCGATGTTTTCACATCAGTTCTTGCACCTCTCGGACTACCATCGGTCCCAGATTTTACTAACTGTGCAGGAGATAGTGGGGATTTCTTACAGTCAGATTTTGGAGATCCTGGTGATGTTTTGGAGTTCATCCGTGGTAAAGATGGAGATGTCTTCTTTGAATAGAACTTTCCCTGTTGGCTTTTCCTCAACTCAACTTTAGGTGATGTCAGTGATTTTGGTTTAGTTTTTAACTTCTTGGACTCAACAGTTGACTGGTCACTGGCAGGCAATGAATGTGGCTTATCAATCATTTTGGTTTTCGTGTCAGCTGGCCCGTGTGAATGATGATCACTGTCATCCATTCTATCTGTGTCATAGTCACTGATGCTAGGAATGACTTCTTCTAACATACTGTACTCACTACAGTCTGTTCCAGCAGTCAAGGGGGACAACTCACGTTGTTTGCGATTTATGTTATCCTTTAAGTTCTTCTTCTTCAGTGTTGGTTTGGAGTCACACTGAACATCACAGACAGCTTCTTTGTAGTTGAGAGTGTCTTTCTTTGGACGATTATTTCCTCCTGCTGGTTCTGCTGTCTTCAATGCAACACCTGACATTGTCAAAACAGAACTGCCAGATTTTTCTGTTTTATCAGAATGTTTACCACCCATAGTAGGCCCTTTACCTTTATCATGAGTAGTGCTTGGCAATCTTGAAGCCCTTGGCAGTTTTGAATGAGATTTGTTCATTTTGGAAGTGGCTGAACTAAAACTAAGAACACTGTCTGTATCATCATCCACAACAGATGATCGTGGTGAGTTAGAAACACTACGCTGATGCTGAGGCATATTGGAGCTTGAACATTTACTTCCAGATTGTACTTTGTGTCTTAGGCTGTTTTTTGTACTTTGCATTTCAATATTTTTCAAACTCGAAGGGGACAATGTTTTCTTCACTGTCTTGGCTTTATCTTTCCGATCTTCAGACACTGATTTAATAGATTTTACAGATTTAATTTCAGTGCCTTTCTTTTGACTTGCTGATACGCTGATTGTCACTCTGCTTGGAACACGTTCCATCCTAATGTTCCTGGGATCATGTGCTGACACCGTTGATGCTTTTTGTTTAGGCTTCCCAGATTTTGATTCAGTTGATGTGGCAGACAGTGTTGGGGACAGTGACCCTCCCCTTTGAACTGTGTCACATACAACAGGTTCTGTCGCACAGACACAATCACCAGAGTCCTTTTTCTTTTTCAAAGTGACTTTCATATTTGAATTCTGTACAGTCTTTGGCTTGGCACAGTTCTGTGAGGTTTTCTTTGCATGAAGTTTCAAGTCAGGTTTATTTGATATAGATGAAGTGTTTCTGAAACGTTTCTCACCTATCTTATCCCTCTTCATGTTCTTTATCACCTTGTTGTCACTTTGAACTTCATCCTTTTCAGATCCTGGTTCTTTCAAAGAATTCATCTTTGTGATCTGAGGTAATGACCCATCTTTCACAAAATATTCCCTCTCAGAGCTGCTTCGATTGCTATCCATTCCACTCTCAACACAATTTTCATATGTCTCAACATTTCGTCTTGTTTTTTCAACCTTGATGTCACATGATTCAACTTTTTCTGTAAATTCATTCGATGTGATGCTATTATTTTTTAGTTCACCTTTTTCTCTGCTACAGCTTTTCTGTGCACCACTTTGTTTGTGATATGCGTTGGCAGTCTGACCAAACTCCTCCAACACCAAATTTTCATCCACTTTCACTGTTCTGCACTTCTTAGATCTGTGTTTTGATGAATCAGATTTTGCACTCTGATGCATCTTGGGTGCTACGCCAGTAGTTTTTGTGGCTCTGTTCCTGTGTTTCTGATACGTCCCGCTGCTGGATATCTCACTCTCTTTCTCGGATGCACAACTAGGAACACTGACGTCAGTTGAGGAAACAGAAGACCTTGGAGAAGTTAAAACCTTATCACAAGACTTAACCTGAAGTGGTTTATGTGCAACAATGTCACTGGAAAATGTTTGAAGTTTCATTTTTCCAGAACTCTCATTCTTCTTCCATTCTTTGTTCTTTCTCTCCATTGGAGGAGAAAACATTGTATCAGGGCTGGTGGGAGACTTCACCATAGGTATCAACTTTTTTGCCATTTCTGGACTACTTTTAATAGCTGATGAAATCGTAGGCCTCATTAGCCGTGAGGCGCTAGCATTATTTCTCTTTCTACTTGGTGTTGTTTCAGCTAATTGTTTTCCAGAACCACACTCTTTCTTTTCTGCCAAATTGATGTCCAAAGAAGCGTGTCCAGTCTGTCGTTTTAATCCCTGACTCTTCTGTTGTGATGGTCTCATATTTTCCTTGACAGGACCACTTGCTTTGGTTGCCATAGATTTATTCTGGTCAGGATCACACTTTATTGATGCTTGATGTGTTATACACCCATTACCAATGCCACCATTTTCAAAATGTAATGGGATATAGTTATTTATACCATCTTCACAATGCTCCTCAGTGTCAGAATTCTTGCAATAATTACTCCCATGGTGAACCAAGTAATTTCTATCATGATTGAAATCACTAAACATTTCACTTGAGTGATTTTTTCTTTCACCTGTTTCAAAAGAGTTTATATCTTGAAAGTTTGATCCATCCTTTTCAGTGCCAACACAATGTTCACTTTGAACAAGGAATTTTTCACCTCCCTTTGAAGATGAGCCTAACAACCGATCACCATTGCTGCCTACTGCCTTTCTCTCCTTATCACCAACTGATAGCAACCTCCGGGGGAATCCTGTTCCTACTACTGTGCCTAATGATTCCCCTCCTGCATCTGTTTCTGCCAGATTTTCTGGTGCAGAACTTTCACAAATTGCAGTGTCAGACGGGGAAGAGTTTTTGTCTGTTTGAGCTGATGTATCCCGCTCTGATAGTGTTACAAGATATGACACACTATCTGAAACGAGCAACAACTCACTCTCCTCATATATCTTGCCATCTTCAGAGAAATTATACTCACATGCACTTTTTTTGGTTCCATTTTCATAGACTGGAGTAGAATGGACTTTGTGCTTCAGGGATTTACTAGCTCCTGAAATTGTACTGCCAGGGCTACATGACACATGTGTATCATCTCTGTCAGTTTTTTCAACACTTTCACCAAACTCATTCCCATCTGAAACTGCTGTTACAGTTCCAGTATATGAGTCTTGGTTAAGCAACTTTTTCTTTTTCACGTTGGGAGCTTTTGCATACTTGTAGGCGCCCTGATAGCTAGGAATACCTGACAGTTGTTTCTGGTGCTGGGTCGCTTTGCCTTCACTTCTACCAACATTTCCTATTTTTTCACACACGCGGAAACCATCACTTAGAGAGCTTGCAACGTCATCAGGTTTATTATTGCTTAAACATGCTCCTCCTTGAAATCTGTCAGTAACATTCGAATGCGAAACCTCAACCCTGCATACATCTCTGTTTTTACAGTCTGACTGTTCATCTAATGAATCATAATTACGATCCGTGTGTGAAATATTTCCTTGTTTATGACCACGTACCAGTGGCTGGTTAGCAGGCGAATCGCACACAACAGACAACTCACCGTTATTCACCGACTGCCCATACTTGATCTCCGTCACAGCACACACCGGTGATTCTAATCCTGTTGTTATCTCTCCGTAATCCCGTTGTGCATTATCTGAAATAACACAACCCTGTCCCACTCTGCCAGTCTGTGCAATTATTTCCTTCCGTCTCACGGTACGTTTGTCACGGACTATTACATTACAATCCACTGATCTTTGACAAATTTTACGAGACGCTTTGGCGCTGCCTGCACGTGACGCGTGTTGGGCGGTGTCGTCTGTTTCTTGTGTCGTCTGCCTGCCGAGTGTATCCACGCCTGTCCTGTCACCGAGAGAGACTTCATTCGTCCCTGCCACACCTCCACACTGAGTCGAGTCCAAAGTAGAGTGGAACACCTTTCCTCTAGATAAGCCTGTTATATTCTCCCCACTGCTTGCGCACCTTCCATCGTCTCCAATTTCACGTCGTCTGCTCGCTTTACAATCCGTGCCATTTCGGTCTGTTATCTCTGCTCCTAATAAATTACCTGGCAAAGAGGTACAGACCGATTTGTGAACACTGACAACCCGACTATTCGCCGGGCGGGACTTGTATGATGTATCCCCACTTCTAAACCTTTGTGGGGTAACGGACTTCCGTTGACCACTAGACTTTGATAACACTGCAATTTTACTGGCTTTCAAGCCACGCTTATTCTTATCCCCACGTCTCTCGTCGCTCTCCATGTCCCCTGCTATAAATGAATGGTCGAGAAATACTTTCTCCGATTTTTTCTCAAGACTTCCACTCTTGTAACAATTATTCTCGTCGCGGTTCCTACACTTTCCGGTTGTTTCCGATTTTTCCACCTCCATCGACTTGATGTTTCCATTTTCGCGTCCAGATTTAGGATACCTCCCCTTTTTCTCTTTCAGTCCACTTTCCGAATTACATCGTGTCCCGTTTGACTTTAAATTGTTTCTATTCAGAAGAACATTAACATCCGACTTGTGTTGCAGCCTACACGGGATTGGTTGCAGTAGGTGGCAGGCTTTGCTCTGTATTCCTCTTCCTACCTTGGGGTCTTTTGATGATTGCTGCAGGTTTCTGCTTTGGCTAATGTTACGTAACACTAAGTTAGTCTGTTTAGGAAGGATAACAGAACATTTCTCGCCTACACTCACGGAATCAACATAATGATTCACTAGTCTCGGTGATCCAAGCCTTGGCAGACTGCTGACTGAGGCGAAGGTTTCCTCGTCCCGAACTTTCCTCGATCGATCGATATTCGTCGGGTCCAAAACTTGGCAAAGTCCACTGTTCTCATAGCAATTGCTTCTTAAACGCGATCCCGATCTCCTCCTTCTGATACTGGTACTTTTACATTTCTGCTGTGGCCTGTTACCCACGAGAACACTGCTGCCACCAAAATGTGATTTGTCCAGTGCATTTGTCACACGCTCTGTGCTTCCGCCTTCCAAAACCACTGTCAGCCTTTGAATTGTACATTCTATTTTACCTCCCTCCCCACGACGTGCAGTTACATCGATATTGTTTGTTCTTGTGTTGCTCACAACGCCAGCCCTGCTCTGTTTATTTGGAAAAGTTTGTTTGTTGGTCTTGTGAGATTTCACGTTTCCCGCAAGTCGACCAGCGACTCCGGGTCCATTCCTGTTCAAGTTAGACATTCCACCCGATGGGGTACACTGTTTGACTGATTATATTGCTTAGCATAAGTAATGACCAGGTTAGCCACGAGGCAAGAGTTGTCGTAAATTAAATTCTGTTTTTTTCCACGACGTCAAACGCCACAGGTTTCTGAAACGATAAAGTTACTAAGTAGTCAATCAGAAAGGATAAGATTAATCTGAGGAGTGGGTCAATAAGATTTGCAGATTAGATTTTTGCGATACTATTTTCAGGCGTTTATACACATGTTTTTAGACTTCCTTGTATATTATAAGACTCGAAATTTAACTGATCTTAAATATGTATATTACGTTGCAAGCTTTTTATTGTTAGCAATAGTCTCTGTGCAGGTGTTTCTCTTAGATTTATTTAACTTAACTTAAATATCAAACTCTCAAATATTTTTTGGGGATAATTTAATTAACTTTGAACTTCCTTGACGTGGAATGTGTTGCTATCCTGTAAGTGTATTTCAGGAAGTACATTGATCTCACAATCAAGACGGAAAATGTAGATTGACGAAGAGGTATTGGTATTTTGTACCAGCGTTGATGTGTGTAAATATGTACCTGGTTTCATCTTCATTAGCAAATAGCGACACAGAAGACATAAATAAGCAATGAAGACGGACGCCGAGGGCTACTGTGAGTAGGTATTGATGAAGAACACAGGGCAGGGTAGAGTCTAATTAACAACCTCTGGTTGACACTGTGGAATCCAACTAGTGGTTAAAGTGTCGACCTTTAGAGCTACAGGTTAGCATGAATTAGTTGTGCGCTGTGGTAATATCCTGCCTTCCTGGTGATGTGTACATAGGGCCGGTGATACAGCTTGCAATGTATATAGTGTGTTGTAACGGTGGCTACACGGCAGGTTTAAGTTCTATGTCAAATCACGTAACTCATGTATGATAAATTATGAATTACAAATGCTTTTAACAACTTAACTCGGTCGGTTTTCTGAATTATACTAAAATAGCATGTCTTGGCTGAATATATTTCCGTAATCTTGTTCCAATATGGAATGTCAATGTAGTTAATACATCGTATTGTGTTAAATGTAAGGGTAAAGCCCCGAACAGTTATAGTTATGGTCGCGAGGATGAGAACCAACACGTGTAGGGTCTCATATAACATCCACGTATTTCCTTTTTCAATTACATCAGAGACCATATACCGATATATGGTCTCTGATTACATGTTGCAGCTTGACTGGCTTGGAGTTCACGTTGCTGATGACGTCAGATGCACTTTTATCCAAAATCACTTTGGCGTGCGACGAATTTTCAGTTACTGGCTATTCTTAAACATTATGAGTTAAGCATACGCGATACGATTAAAAGTGCTCTTCTTTTCAACCTTTTCGAGAGTATAATTTCTTGGCTGCACGATAACCTTGATCCATCTTTCAAAAATGCAAGAGATAGGACAGACGTGCCAAATGAACAATATTTAAATATCCGATACATTTGCCTGCACACAAAGCAAGGTTCAGGTGTAACATTAAAATGCTTTCCTCCGTTAACAGCGTACTCATTTCGAACCGATGTCCACTCATAATTTAGTATTTTAAGGTTTATTTTAGCATCTACAAAAAAAACCTGTTTGTGTACCATATAGTGTATCTCTCTCCATAGTGTCAGTGCACCATATAGTGTGTCTCTCTGTCCATAGTGTTAGTGCACCATGTAGTGTGTCTCTCTGTCAAAGTTTTTGGTGCACCATGTAGTGTGTCTCTCTGTCCAAAGTGTTAGTGCACCATATAGTGTATCTCTGTCCATAGAGTCAGTGCACCATATAGTGTGTCTCTCTGTCCATAGTGTTAGTGAACCATGCAGTGTGTCTCTCTGTCCATAGTGTTAGTGCACCATGTAGTGTCTCTCTGTCCATAGTGTTAGTGCACCATATAGTGTGTCTCTCTGTCCATAGTGTTAGTGCATCATGTAGTGTGTCTCACTGTCAATAGTGTAAGTGCACCATGCAGTGTGTCTCTCTGTCCATACTGTTAGTGCACCATGTAGTGTCTCTCTGTCCATATTGTTGGTGCACCATATAGTGTGTCTCTCTGTCCATAGTGTTAGTGCACCATGCAGTATGTCTCTCTGTCCATAGTGTTAGTGCACCATGTAGTGTGTCTCACTGTCCATAGTGTTAGTGCACCATGCAGTGTGTCTCTCTGTCCATAGTGTTAGTGCACCATGTAGTGTGTCTCACTTTCCATAGTGTTAGTGCACCATGCAGTGTGTCTCTCTGTCCATACTGTTAGTGCACCATGTAGTGTGTCTCACTGTCCATAGTGTTAGTGCACCATGCAGTGTGTCTCTCTGTCCATACTGTTAGTGCACCATATAGTGTATCTCTCTGTCCATAGTGTTAGTGCACCATGTAGTGTGTCTCACTGTCCATAGTGTTAGTGCACCATATAGGGTGTCTCTCTGTCCATAGTGTTAGTGCACCATGCAGTGTGTCTCTCTGTCCATAGTGTTAGTGCACCATGTAGAGTGTCTCTCTGTCAATAGTGTCAGTGCACCATGCAGTGTGTCTCTCTGTCCATAGTGTTAGTGCACCATGTAGTGTGTCTCTCTGTCCATAGTGTTAGTGCACCATGTAGTATTTCTCTGTCAATAGTGTCAGTGCACCATGTAGTGTGTCTCTCTGTCCATAGTGTCAGTGCACCATGTAGTGTGTATCTCTGTCAATAGTGTCAGTGCACCATGTAGTGTGTCTCTCTGTCCATAGTGTCAGTGCACCATGCAGTGTGTCTCTCTGCCCATAGTGTTGGTGCACCATATAGTGTATCTCTGTCCATAGAGTTAGTGCACCATATAGTGTGTCTCTTTGTCCATAGTGTTAGTGCACCATGCAGTGTGTCTCTCTGTCCATAGTGTTAGTGCACCATGTAGTGTGTCTCTCTGTCCATAGTGTTAGTGCACCATGCAGTGTGTCTCTCTGTCCATAGTGTTAGTGCACCATGTAGTGTGTCTCTCTGTCCATAGTGTTAGTGCACCATGTAGTATTTCTCTGTCAATAGTGTTAGTGCACCATGTAGTTTGTCTCTCTGTCCATAGTGTCAGTGCACCATGTAGTGTGTCTCACTGTCCATAGTGTTGGTGCACCATATAGTGTATCTCTGTCCATAGAGTCAGTGCACCATATAGTGTGTCTCTCTGTCCATAGTGTTAGTGCATCATGTAGTGTATTTCTGTCCATAGTGTTAGTGCACCATATAGTGTGTATCTCTGTCCATAGTGTCGGTGCACCATATAGTGTGTCTCTCTCTCAATAGTGTTAGTGCACCATGCAGTGTGTTTCTCTGTCCATAGTGTTGGTGCACCATAAAGTGTGTATCTCTGTCAATAGTGTCAGTGCACCATGCAGTGTGTCTCTCTGTCCATAGTGTTAGTGAACCATGTAGTGTGTCTCTCTGTCCATAGTGTTAGTGCACCATGTAGTGTCTCTCTGTTCATAGTGTTATTGAACCATGAAGTGTGTGTCTCTGTCCATATTATTAGTGCACCATATAGTGTGTCTCTCTGTCAATAGTGTTGGTGCACCATATTATGTTTCTCTTTGTCCATAGTGTTAGTGCACCATGCAGCGTGTCTCTCTGTCCATAGTGTTAGTGCACCATGTAGTGTGTCTCACTGTCCATAGTGTCAGTGCACCATATGGTGTGTGTCTCTGTCCATAGTGTTAGTGCACCATATAGTGTGTCTCTCTGTCCATAGTGTTAGTGCACCATGTAGTGTGTCTCACTGTCCATAGTGTCAGTGCACCATGTAGTGTGTATCTCTGTCAATAGTGTCAGTGCACCATGTAGTGTGTCTCTCTGTCCATAGTGTCAGTGCACCATGTAGTGTGTATCTCTGTCAATAGTGTCAGTGCACCATGCAGTGTGTCTCTCTGACCATAGTGTTGGTGCACCATATAGTGTATCTCTGTCCATAGAGTTAGTGCACCATATAGTGTGTCTCTTTGTCCATAGTGTTAGTGCACCATGCAGTGTGTCTCTCTGTCCATAGTGTTAGTGCACCATGTAGTGTGTCTCTCTGTCCATAGTGTTAGTGCACCATGCAGTGTGTCTCTCTGTCCATAGTGTTAGTGCACCATGTAGTGTGTCTCTCTGCCCATAGTGTTAGTGCACCATGTAGTATTTCTCTGTCAATAGTGTTAGTGCACCATGTAGTTTGTCTCTCTGTCCATAGTGTCAGTGCACCATGTAGTGTGTCTCACTGTCCATAGTGTTGGTGCACCATATAGTGTATCTCTGTCCATAGAGTCAGTGCACCATATAGTGTGTCTCTCTGTCCATAGTGTTAGTGCATCATGTAGTGTATTTCTGTCCATAGTGTTAGTGCACCATATAGTGTGTATCTCTGTCCATAGTGTCGGTGCACCATATAGTGTGTCTCTCTCTCAATAGTGTTAGTGCACCATGCAGTGTGTTTCTCTGTCCATAGTGTTAGTGAACCATGTAGTGTGTCTCTCTGTCCATAGTGTTAGTGCACCATGTAGTGTCTCTCTGTCCATAGTGTTAGTGAACCATGTAGTGTGTCTCTCTGTCCATAGTGTTAGTGAACCATGTAGTGTGTCTCTCTGTCCATAGTGTTAGTGCACCATGTAGTGTGTCTCTCTGTCTATAGTGTTAGTGCACCATGTAGTGTGTCTCACTGTCCATAGTGTTAGTGCACCATATAGTGTGTCTCTCTGTCCATAGTGTTAGTGCACCATATAGTGTGTCTCTCTGTCCATACTGTTAGTGCACCATGCAGTGTGTCTCTCTGTCCATAGTGTTAGTGCATCATGTAGTGTGTCTCTCTGTCCATAGTGTTAGTGCACGATATAGTGTGTCTCTCTGTCCATAGTGTTAGTGCACCATGTAGTGTGTCTCACTGTCCATAGTGTTAGTGCACCATATAGTGTGTCTCTCTGTCCATAGTGTTAGTGCACCACGCAGTGTGTCTCTCTGTCCATAGTGTTAGTGCATCATGTAGTGTCTCTCTGTCCATAGTGTTAGTGCACCACGCAGTGTGTCTCTCTGTCCATAGTGTTAGTGCACCATGTAGTGTGTCTCTCTGTCCATAGTGTCAGTGCACCATGGAGTGTGTCTCTCTGTCCATAGTGTTAGTG